AAAAGAGGAAGACCCCCAACGAGATGGATTGGCCAGGTGGCATCATCGATGGACTCAAATGTGGCAACAGTAGTGAGGTTGGCCCAGGATTGGGCAGTGTTTCATTCTGCTGTGCATACGGTCGCTATGAGTTGGTACCGACTTGATGGCACCTAACAACAACAACAACTTATTAATGTAAAAACTGCACAATGAATAAGGAATACTGTAGAAGACTTGACGCATTTGAGTTAGGATGCTGGAGAAGAATATCAGAAGTACCGTGTACTGCCAAAGAACAAACAATCTGTGTTGGAAGAAGTACATCCAGAATGTTGTGCATAGGATCGCTGAATTGGTATTTACTCACTGGCACCTAACAACAGCAACAATAAGAGTCCTAGTATGATGCTTTAGGATAAGCACTGGATTTTAACTGCAAGGTAAATGGTTTAAACCCACCAGCCACTCCTTAAAAACCCTACACAAGGTTGCTCTGAGTAAAACTGACTCGATAGTACTTAACAACACTAACAAAGCAAGCCCATCTTTATAATAGGGAATATAAAGAAATTTAGAAATTCCTTTCTGAAGATAATAGCAAAACTATAAAATCTTACTTTTGAACATGAGAAGTTAAACATTACCTTTTTTTTCCATACATATCTTTTGAAACATTCCTGTTCTCTCCAAAACAAATCTAATCCAATTGATGTTGAAGCTAGCTAGTATCATATATTCAGAAAATAAAATACACTAGTATTTTTTAAATACAACTCCATTTAAATATAAATTTTTTTAAAAAATACTTTCATTGTATTTCACAACAGAGATTCATTGACTGTGGGCCATATGCCAACAACAGTTTCCCTGAACTTCAAGTGTAGAGAAGTGGTACTCGAACCCTTGGCCCTGGTCTGTAGGAAATTCAATGTCTTCCCTGAGATATGTGGGTTCTGCGAGGTTTATTTTTCTCTGGGACGCCTCTGATTCATTCCTGGCTTATTCTGGATACTTGTTCTCTTCTCTGCTTCTTGTGATTCCTAAAAATTTGTTCATTGGTGTCAACCCAAACACCTTGATTTTTTCCACCTACTTTCAACTCCATTCACATGAGTCAGCAGTCAGGGATTGATTTCAGTAGAGATTTTAAGTAAAGAGTGAGGAGAAGAGCATATCAATGCTGTAAAAATTTGAAATTAAATATTAGACATTTGTTTCCTTAAAAAAAAATCATTGACTTTTTACAACTCTGATTCCAATTTTCCACCCTTTTGCTCAACAATTTTCACTCTCTCTGTAAAGGTTTCAGCTCAACAACTTTAAATCTTTGCTTCCTTTTATTATAAAAAGAATTTATCTTTGTCCAGAAGTTACCTCAAAAAACTGCATAGTTTGATAGTAAAGATATCACTAATGTATCACATCAAATAATAGGCCACCTCATCAAATCTAACACTTATCTCTCATTCTCTGCAAAAGTAAATGTACCAGATCATTTCTATTTGCTTCTATGCTTTCCACCTCAGATCCACTTTTTATCTGTCTCTCTTCCCAGAAAGCTAAATTGTATGGATTGCTTCAACTGACTCTCCTATCATCTGGTCTTTAGTTGGGTTCAGTCAATGGAAGACACCAGCAGATCAAAAGGAGGAAGTGGGTAGAGGAAGGGCATTTATCACCCACATCACCTCTGTTCTCTTTTTCAGACTACTGAAAGGTGACTGGTTTCCTCCATTAGGAATCACAGCTCTGTAAGGTAATCTCTCCATAATTATTTTATTTCCCACATAAAGTAGTGACTCCTTCCCCTTTCTTTTCAGGGATAGGGGTGTTAAGACTCTATTTGCTGGCATAGTTTTTCTTACCCTTATCAATACTTTCTTCTGTTGCATTTTTATATAAAAAGATAAAAAATAATTATTTCTTATTCCTGTTATGTCATACACTGCACTGTATGTTATGTATATGTGTGGTGCTGTAGGATAAGTACTGGACTGCTAAATGAAAGGTCAGAGGTTCAAACCACCTTGGAAATCCAAACAGAGTCACTATGAGTTGGAACCAACTTAAAGATACTTAACAACAGCAAAAACTTCTTTTGGTAGATTTAGTATCCTTATGTTATAATTAGAAATTGAAGTTCAGATCAATTAACTTGCACACAGTTGCATACTTAAAGAAGTTACTGCACAAGAAATTTATGCTCGAATATGAAAGAGTCCAAAGTCTAATGTCCACTCACTATACATTACTTTTGTTGTTGTTAGGTGCCGGTGTGTTAGTTCTGACTCATAGTGACCCAATACACAAGAGAACGAAACACTGCCTGGTCCTGCACAATCCTCACAATTGTTGTTATGTTTGAGCACATTGTTGCTGCCATAGTATAAATCCATCTCATCAGGGGTCTTCTCCTTCCAGTTTTCTAAGCATGATGTCCTTTCCAGGGACTGGTCCCTCTTGACACGTCCAAAAATACATTTCTAAGGAGAATTCTGGCTGTACTTCTTCTAAGACAGATTTGTTTGTTCTTTTGGCAGACAAGTACTTTCAAAATTATTGGCCATTCACCAACACCTCTACAGTCTTCCTTATTCAGTGCCCAAATTCACATGAACATGAAGTTATTGAAAATACCATGACTTGGGTCAGGCGAGCCTTAGTTTTCAAACTGACATCTTTGTTTGCTCTGTAACACTTTAAAGCAGTCTTGTGCAGCACATGTCATTTGATTTCTTGATTGCTTATTCCATGAATATTAATTGTGGGCTCAAGCAAAATGAAACCTTTGACAACTTCAATTTTTCTCTGTTTATCATAATGCTACCTATTGGTCCAGCTGTGAGGATTTTTTGCTTTCTTTATATTGATATGCAATCTTTGATCTTCATTAGTAAGTATTTTAAGTCTTCTTCATTTCAACAAGCAAGGTTGTATCATCTGCATATCACAAGTTGTCAATGAATCTCCTTCCAATCCTTTTACCATATTCTTCTTCAAATAATCCAGCTTCTCTGATTACTTGCTCAGCATACAGACTGAATAAGTATGGTGAAAGGATGCAACCATGACACACACCTTACCTGATTTTAAATCATTATTTCCTTGTTCTATTGGAACAACTCCCTGTAGGTCTATGTACAAATTCTTCACGAGAACAACTAAGAGTTCTGGAATACCCATTCTTCAAAATATTATATATAGTTTGATATGACGCACACAGTCTAATCAATGCCTTTGCATAGTCAATAAAGCACAAGTAAACATTGTTCTGGTGTTCTCGGCTTTAAGCCAAGACCTATCTGATATCAGCAATGATGTCCCTCATTCATTTCCTCGCCTGATTCTGGCTTGAATTTCTGGCAGGTCCCTGTTGAAGTGCTGCTCTGACTCTTCTGAATTATCTTCACAGATTCATCATTATTCTTCAAAGTTTTGTGGTATTCCATTGTGTGCATACCAAATTAACCATTCTCCTTTGTAGGTAACTTTTTGGTTTTCCTCAGCTATTCTCAGGATTCTTTTCTTGTCTCTGATTTTGGAAAGCTTGATTATGATGTGTCTTGGAGATTTTCTTTTGGAATCTATCCTATTTGTGATTTGTCCAGTTTCTTGTATGTTTATCTTCTTGTATTTCATGATCTTAGGGAAGTTTTCTTCCAACAACTCTTCGAGAATTTTCTCTGTACTTGTCTCTTTCTGTTCTGGAATTCTGATCACCCATAAGTTGTTCCTCTTCATGGTGTCTCACATAATTCTTAGGCTTTCATCTGCTTTTTCATTCTTTTTTCTGACTGTTCTTCTAGCATACTAATATTGCGAGATTTATCTTGAAGCTCACTAATTTGGGCTTCCATTGCTTCACATCTACTCCTTTGACCTTCCAATGTATTGTCCATTTCTGAGATCCCAGTATTAGTCTTTTGGATTTCTAATGACAGGCTTTGTATTGTTTCAAAAGTTGCATTTATTTTGTCTGTTTGTTCTTGTAGTGGTTTCCTGAATTCTTTTAAAGTTTTTTATTATGTACTCCTTGCTTTCCTCGATTATTCTATTGATCCTTTGAAGGTACCTAATTATCATTCTTTGGAATTCTTTTTCAGTTAGCTCTATTACTTTTGCTTCCTCAGAAACATCTTTTAGCGCTTCATCTTGGTCGTTTGTTTGAGCTTTTCTCACTTGTATCTTTGTGTGAGTTAAAATTTCCTGTTGTCGTCACAGCATAGTGATGTTGTTGTATTTGTAAAAACAAACAATGCAGTTGTTAGACCTGGAGGGGAAAAATCTTTGGGGGTCTCCTGCAATCCAAGGAGCTCACAGGTGGTTGTGGAAGGGTTGTGACAGAAAAGTTCCTGGCCCTAGATGACCCTAGATGGAGTTCCTATTGGCCTCAGTTTTTTCTATGTTCAGGGCACTTAGTCCAAAAATAGTTCATGGGGGTCCTTCATGGAGCTGATTTCAGTGTCTGTTGTTGTTGTTGTTGTTGTCAGGTGCCATCGAGTCAGAACCAACTCATAGTGACCTCATGCACAGCAGAACAAAACAATGTCCGATCCTGAGCCAACCTCACTACCGCTGCCACACTTGAGTCCATCAATGACGCCACCTGGCCAATCCATCTCGTTAGAGGTCTTCCTCTTTTTCTCTGACCCTCCACCTTACCCAGCATGACATCCTTCTCCAACGATTGTTTCCTCCGGACAATATGTCCAAAGTATGAAAGACGAAGCTTAGCCATCCTGGCCTCCAGGGAGCACTCTGGCTGCACTTCTTCCAAAACAGATCTATTGGTTCCTTTGGCAGTCCATGGCACTTTCAGTACCACAGGAAAGACGGAAGAGATCCAGGGACTCCCCCACCTCCAGCCTCGGACAATCTCTTCTAACAACTTCTTTGGGCACAGTCTGGTCTCCAGGACCATCTTCTTGACCATTCCCTGTTACCGGTACCAGCTGGTCCCGTCTTGTGTGTGTGTGTGTGTGTGTGTGGTTAGCTTCAAATCTTTAACCAACCATAAGCTCTCAGATCCGTCAGAATTATTCCACTGAAGCAGAAGCCGGCATCAACCATCTGGTTAATCCGCATCTGTGGGCCTCTTACACCTACCTCTCTTTGGGCTTCTATTTCGGTTGCGATGATGTGGCTTTGGAAGGTGTGGGACATTTCTTCCGTGAGTTGTCAAAGGAGAAGTATGAGGGTGCTGAGCGTCTCTTGAAACTGCAAAACCAGCGTGGTGGTCGTGCACTCTTCCAGGAAGTGCAGAAGTCCTCCCAAGATGAGTGGGGAAGAACCCTTGACGCCATGGAAGCTGCCCTGGCCGTTGAGAAGAACCTGAGCCATGGAAGCTGCCCTGGCCGTTGAGAAGAACCTGAGCCAGTCTACTCTGGATCTGCCTGCCGTGGGTGTTACCCACACAAACCCCCCCCCCACCTCTGTGACTTTCTGGAGAATCATTTCCTCGACAAGGAGGTGAAAATTATCAAGAAGATGGGCAACCACTTGACCAAACTCCATCGGATGGCTGGTCCCCAGGCAGGGGTGGGTGAATGTCTCTTCAAGAGGCTCACTCTCAAGCATGACTAAGAAGAGCCTATGAAGCCCGGCAACCTGTGAAGGGCCTTTCAGCATTCCCCTGCTCTCTGCTAACCTTCTGCCTGAACCTTGCTCTCCAGACAGAGGCAGCATAGTCAACGCCCTGGAGCCCCTCTTCACCCAAGTGGTAAACCAAATGAAAACAATAAAGCTTCCTTTTACAGCCAAACAAAAAAATCTATGTTCAGGTCACTCAGTCCAAAAGTAGTACATGGGGTCCTTCATGGAGCTGATTTCAGTGTTTGTTAGGACCACAGGAAATCTGGGGGCAGCATGACTGATGAAATGCTGGCCTGGTGGCTCTGCAGCATTTGTAGGTCTGGAGCCAAGCCCACCTGAATCCAGGCACCAAAGTAGCACAGTTGGCACCTACCTCATGCTGGCATGGCTCCCAATCATGCATAGTAGGTAATCCTGCTGGCATTTTAAATACTAATGTCATAGCTTCCAGCATGACCGCAACACACAAGCCACTACAAACTATATGACAAGTGGTAGATTCATCACTTGTTGTTGTTGTTAAGTGCCGTCGAGTCGGTTCCGACCCATAGCGACCCTGTACAGGGTTTCCGAGGGTGTAAATCCTTACGGAAGTAGAAAGCCTCATCTTTCTCCCGCGGAGCGGCTGGTAGTTTCGAACCACTGACCTTAAGGTTCGCAGCCCGATTCGTAACCACTACGCTACACAATGTTAAAAGATACGCATTAGTCATCAGGGCTCATTTAATTCTAATACTTATGAATCAAAGATGCAACAAGAAACCACTTCATATTCATTTGTTGCTGAAGTTAAGTGCCATCGAGTCACTTCTGACTTATAGTGCCCTTGTATAGGATTTCTAAGGAGCAGCTGGTGGGTTTGACCACCCAACCTTCTAGCTCACAGTTGGGTGTTGATCCTATAGCACCACACCAGGAGTCCACTCCACTAAGATGGTTAAAATACAAAAGACAAATTTTAACAAAATTTGATGAGGATGTGGAGAAATCAGGACCCATATACATTGTTGGTAGGAATGTAAAAGGGTGCAGCTGTTTTGGAAAATTGTCTAGTAGTTTCTCAAATGGTCAAACAAAGAGTTTTCATATAACCTAGGAATTACACTTGTAGATCTATACCCAAAAGAAAACCATGTCCATGCAAAAACATGTACCTGAATGTCCAGAGCAGCATTATTAAAATAGATTTTAAAAAATGGAAACAATCCACATGTCCATCAACTGATGAATAGATAAACAAAATGTGGTGTATACATAAATGGAATGTTGTTGTTGTTATTGTTGTTAAATATCATCATGTCAGTTCTGACTCATAACGAGCCTGTGTAGGATTCCCAAGGTATGGCAGAAGAGTTTGAACCACCGACCTTGCAGTTCAAACCAACCTTGAAGTACAGTTCTTACTCTACAGCATCACACCAAGACTCTTATTTAGCAATTAAAAAGAATAAAGTACTTATGCATGACTAAAACATACACGAACATTGAAATCATATTAAGTAAATAAAAGCAATCCCAGAAGACCATATGTTATATGGTTCCATTTGTATGGAATGTGCAGAACAGGCAAATCTATACAGCCACAATGTACATTAGTGGTTGTCTAGGGCTGGGAGACTAATGGGTATGGTGTTTTGTTTTATTTAAAGAGTGTTGAATATATTCTAAAATTGATTTTGTCTACACAACACATTTGTGTAGATATTTTTTTAAAACAATTGAATTAAACATTTTAAGTGGATGAGATTTATGGTGTGGTAAACACAAAGTTGGCAGTTCAAACCTACCAGCTGCTCCTGGGAAGCCCTATACAGGGTCTCTATGAGTTGGACCTGACCCGAAAGCACTTATAACAATAAAGCTGTTATAAAACAAATAAACAAACAAACAAAATATACTTGCACCCAGCATTCTGAGTTAACAATTGCATCAATAGTCTGTGGCCAGAGGGTGTGCAGCAGGTAAGCAAAAACCCCTTCAGAAGAGTGTCTTAACAGAGTTTTTATTTCCCTATCCAAGAGTTTGACATGTTATGACGGCCATTACATTGATTGATATTTGTGATTTAGTAACATCACCAACCTTCATTTGGCATACCAATTATACAGCTCTTCGCCACCTGTTCTCCGCTTGTCTCTTGCTGTGACCCCTATTGTTCTGCTCATTCTATTATTAAATAAATCTGTTTCATTTTAGAAGCCTGTGTTTTGGCTCATATGACACAACCAGCCCTTGGAAACTTGGCTCTTCAGACTTATTTCTGACATCATTTTAATGGCTCTTGGCACACATGGGCAAACTACAGGTAGCCCATTTTCTGAAAGATTACTTTTTCAAAGTTTCTGTGGAGATATTAAAATCTCAAATAAGAGCCATTTTTTTAAATCTGATTTTCTCTTTAAGCTCTTTAAAACTGTAGACAAATGAGTAAAAATTTCTAATAAAGTCAGTGCTCACCAGTGCATGAGGGTCAATTATTCAAGTAATATTTAAACCAATTTTTTTTTCTTACTCATATGTAGAAAAAATATATTTTTTAATTTATAGATATCAGTGACTTTTGTCTACATGAGTGTAGCAAGACAAGGAGTCACACACAGGTCTTTACCAGGAAAATAAAAGTCTGAGTCCCACGTGAAGGTGAGTTCAAAAAATAAGGACAAACCTAGGTTGCAGAAACTGCATCTGAAGTAAAGTGTCTGTAAAGGGCAGGCAAAGCGGATGATTGAGTTCCTGACGCAGAGCCTAGACTGATTCCCTTAGGTAATGAGATGCAGGAGGTAAGTTGTACTGGGACAGAGCAGCTTTTAAGTAGCTTTTCAGAATACTGACTGCAATCAGCCTATGAAATACGTAAGTACTGTGAAGGTTACTGGCATCTGATTTTTTTAAGCTTTAATTTTTCTGGAGTACTTAAAATGCAGTACGTTCTATGCTCACATTCTATTTCTCAGAGTTTGATTTAGAATTGGAAATATAACTCCAAAATCTTCAAATCTACAAAATTATTCCATCCCAGAATTCATATCCATACTCTATAGAACAACTTTAACTTGTTTCTTCCTGTAACCTTCACATCAGTCAAAATCGGGGGGTGGTGAGGTGAGAGGGTGGAGCTAAAGTGTTCACCTAAGACACAATTAAACTGCAAGCTTCCAAATAAACATCTCCACATATTCACTATGAGAAAACAAAGATGAAAGAAATAACAGAAGAGTGTCAGATTCAGTGGAGTTTGTGGGTGAGCACAGTTGCTATATAAATCCAGTTGGCTATATTTATTACATTCAACTTATTGACTTAGGTCAGGTTGGCTAAACATGTGTCTAAAGTGAAGCCTTGCATCCACTTCTAAAGCCCACTAAAAAATATAGATTTTAGAGGGGCTGGCAAAAGACTGCTGAGTACAGTGGAGATACAGCTATAAAACCATCTGTACTGATCTCTACCACCCTTCTGAATAAAGACCCCAATGGAAAATCAGGCACACTTTATTTACATTGATCCTGGCTTTCAATAATGCCCAAAGCACAATAATGAATGGGCCATTTCACACATGTACTCATACAGTTACTCTGAGTCTTCTAAAATGAATCAGCAATCAATTATAATAATTCCACAAATATTTTATGACGTTCAAAAAAATTTAAAGTTGAGATATGTTTGAAAGATTTCAAAGAAAACCTGTGTCTTTACCATTCCCTAAACATAAATGCTTATGATGACAGCAGTAATTAGACATGACATCCCCCAAAAATATATTTTAAAAGAGAGTCTCAGGTAGAACAAGATAAAAGATTTATGGAACTAATGAGATAAAAATTGCCTGATGAAATAGGTACAATCTTAAGCCTATTGACAATATTCATTACTTAAGCATAATAAATTATCCTCACACAATGTACATCTGTGATATTATTCTATATTTTAAGAGATGTGTCTAAAGTGAATCCGTTTTCGTTATAACATAATAACATCTGCCACTTTGCAAACAGGTTGATAACAGACATCTGAGCTATTTAATCAATAGTAGTGCACTGGTACAAGTTTGGTGACTGGTGAGGGGTGGAGTGGAGAGAATAGTAATAAACAAGACAAAAGGCATTTAAGTGGAGAAAGCTGTTGTTAGCTGAAAATGAGTCAAGCACATACACAATCAGACCATAATAATCCATAAGACTTTTCGCTAGCTGAGTTTTCAGTAGATTACCAGGCTTTTCTTATACAGAGGAGTGGTGGCTGCACTAAAGGTCCATTGTCTGAGAATGAAACCAGGTATTCCACATGGGAGATGAAAATTCTATTGAACCACCACTGCCCTTGCAGAAAGAGCAGAGAATACGTAGTTGCAAATTAATTTGTTTTCAAAAATTAAGTTAGTATTTAAAATAAATAATTGTGACTATAAATGCATAGATCAAGTTCAAAATTTATAATAAATAAAGGACAGCTAAAACGTTGGTGGAGTCCTGGTGTGACGCACTGGGCTGCAAGGTCATGTGAACTGCAATGTCTGCAGTTGAAGTTGACCTCAGAAACCCTGGAACCAACTTGACGGCACTTACCAACAGTAAAAAAAAAACCTCTGGAGAATGCCCATTTTTTAACTATAGACTATACAATTGACCTACAAGAGCTATTTGAACCGTTTTTGAAACTTTAAAAAAAAAAAAAAACTATCTAAAATATTAGCTATTGCTGCCAAGGAATGCATCAAGTTAAAATAAAAATGTCATACAAAGTGTCCTTCAACATAAAATCACCAAAGTGTTCTATGTTATTAACAACAAGCACTCTTACTATTCATAGGAAACTTCATCTGGGTGCCTTTGAATGAAAGGGGGTTAACTTAGTGAACACTGTCCTCCATTTATTGCATAGTTTCTGTAAAGCCCTGGACATTTCCAGCTGACAAATACAGACACAGTTTTCATTTTCAGAAACAACATTAGTTTGCTGCACCATTGGGTGAAATCCAAGCATTTAGTCAG